CAACCATTGGGCCAAAGTTAGCCTATGCTGATTCTTGTATAGCCCAGGAGCAAAGAATGCTGGTTATGTTTTTAAATGATTTAAGAATTTCAAAAGAAGGGCAATATTTTACAGTGTGAAACGTTTGAGAAATTCAGATCTTTGTGTCCACAAATGAAGTATTATTGGAATACAAACACACCCGTTTTATCCCCACATTGTTCATGATTGCCTTTGTGCTACCATGGAAGAGTCATATGACAGAGACCCCATGCCTACCAATCCTAAAATGGCTCCGAATTGACTCTTTACAGAAAACATCAACCTAGCTATAGAGTTGGAGTTAACATGCTTCAATACTGTTACAGGATGAGCATGAAATTCCATTTTGACTCATACTCTTCAATTCCCTTATTGTTATTAGGCACTGTTGAGTCATTATCGACTCATAATGACCTTACAGGACACAGCAAAATTGTCCCATAGGGTTTTCTAGGCTGTCATCTTTACGGAAACAGATTGGCAGGTTTTTTCCTGTAGAACTGCTGGATGAGTTCAAATTGTCAATCTTTTGGTTTAGGCCACCAAGCCTGCCATAACTAGCCCCATATGTAAAAGGCACCGCATTTGGGGAAAAGCAGGTGAATCACTGAGGTTGCACTGTGTGATCCCCTAGAGTTAGCGGGTGTTTGTGAGGAGCACACCCAAGGCCTGAGTTGGTAACTTTGTGAATTCTTCATCGTGACCCATGGTTTATCAGAAGTAGATCTCCAGACTTGTGTACCGAGGCACCTCTGGATGGATTTGAACCTCCAACCTTTTGGTTAGCAGCCAAGTGCATTCATCATTTGTACCACCCAAAGACTTTGTTTAAACTCTTAACTTATACTCAGCCCAGTTATTAAAAAAACAAATTAACCCCCCCCCAAGTTTTTAACAATTCCCTTCAGTTTATGAAATATGACACTAGCACCCCCCTTTGCCTCCCTGCCCCCTTTCCTGTGTCATGTTGGCTAAGGCCTTTTTCGGCCCTTGCGAGGCTCCATCGTTATCTGCTATGTGGAGAGTCATTCATGTCCAAACGAACAAAGCCACTCTGGCTCTTGCGCAGCCTCTACCTTCACATGGACCTCTGTCCCCAGTCGTTGCGGTCATAGATTGCAAAGTCCTCTCTTCGACCCACACTTCCAGGACTCTTGGTGTGGCACTATAGGACCAGCACTGGACCTCGAACCACAAGTTCAAACCCACCAGCTGCTCCTCGGAAACACGATACAGTAGCCCACAACCACTAGAGTATGGAGGAGTCCCAGTGGCATGCATGCTTAAATGTTTGGCCACTAACAGAAATGTTTGTTAGCATCCATCCAGTGACTCCACAGGAGGAAGACCTGGCAAGCTTCTGCCATGAAGATTTGTTGTTGCTCGGTGCCCCTCCAGTCTGTTTCTATTCCCAGAGAGCCCATGGACAACAGAACAAAACATTGCCTGGTCCTATGCCATACTTGAACCCAGTGTTGCAGACACTCTGCCAATTCATCTCACTGAAGGTCTTCCTCTTGTTGGATGACCCTCTACTTTACTAGGGAGTCCTGGTGTGGCGCTGTGGGATAAAGCACTAGACTGCAAGGTCAGTTTGAACCGCAAGGTCAGCGGTTCAAACTCACCTGCCACTCCTTGGGAACCCTATACAGGGTTGCTATGAGTCAGAACTGACTCGATGGCATTTAACAATAACTGCTTTACTAAATATGCCCTTTTCCAGAGATAAGTCCTTCCTGATAATATGTCCACAGTAAGGGAGGCAAAGTCTCACCATCCTTGCGTGTAAAGAGTATTTTAGGTGGACTTCTTCCAAGACAGATTTACTCACTCTTATGATGGTATGTCGTGTTGCTGTGAAGTGCCGTCGAGTCGGTTCTGACCCATAGCGACCCTGTATAGGGTTTCCAAGGAGCAGCTGGTGAGCTTGAACCGCCAACCTTACAGTTCAAATGGCTTTGCAGTCTGGCGCATTAACCCACAGTGCCACATGAGGACTCCTATGATGGTATAGTCCATGGTTTTTGCCAACACCACAATTCAAATGCATCAGTTCTTATTACACTTTCGTTTTTCATTGCCCATAAAGACTAAATCTATTTCTTGCCATTGAGTCCATTCTGATGCATAGCAACCTTGTGGGACAGAGCAGAACTGTCCCATACAGTTTCTTTCTAAGGCTCCAAATCTTTACAGACGCTGACAGTCACATTTTTCTCCTGCAGAGTGGCTGGTGGGTTCGAACTGTAAACCTTACGTTAACAGCGGAGTGCTTGAATAGTGTGCCACCAGGGCCCCTTGTGTGTATATACTTATGACACATTATTACAGTATGTTGTTGTTAAGTGTCATCGAGTCAGTTCCAACTCATAACGACCCTGTATAGGGTTTTCAAGGAGTGGCTGGTGGGTTTGAACTGTTGACTATTTGATTAGCAGTCCAGTGCCTATCCTACAACTCCACAGCAAAAGTGTAATAAGTAATTACTCTGGTCTCTCGCTATGAGTCAGAATTGGCTTGACAGCACTGGTTTTCTGAGAAGTTTTATGTATGGTGGTACTGAGGGATAGGTGTTGGACTGCTGACCACATGGTCAGCAGTTCAATCCCACTGGCCACTCTGCAGGAGAAAAAAGAGACGTTCTACTTCCATAAAGATTTACGGTCTCAGAAACCCTATGTATGCATTATTACGTACTTTATGGTAAAACATAATGATTTTTTAAAAATAAAATATAAAACGATTTTTTGTATGTACCTCCAAATTTCAGGCATAGATGTCTACAAAAAGTCCTAGGCAGATATACAGTTCTGACAACAAAGTAAACTCCACACCCGGACTCCCACCCACTGTTTGCTATAGAATCACCCAGTTTTCTTCCCCTTCAAAAAATCACAAATTAAAACAAAACATTTTGCTAATAGAAAAACAACCAAAGTCCAATTAATAAAACAATTATATACAGAGACTCCATCAATGTCTGTAATACAAGAAATGTGCACGTGGAGCCAGTGTCTGTTTAGGAGAGATGAGAGGTGGCAGGCAAATAGGGCACTACCCAACAAGTTTTCTGGCTTATAATCACCACGGGTACTGGGTGGGAATGGAGCTCTAGTGGTGTAGTGGTGAAGTACTCGGCTGCTAGCCAGAAGGTCAGTGGTTCAAACCCACCAGCTGCTCCCCAGGAGAAAAATGCAGCAGTCTGCTTCTATAAAGATTGCAGCAGCTCTGCTCTGCTCTGTAGGATTTCTATGACGTAGAATCAACTTGACAACAATGGGTTGGATTTGGGATTCTTTGGTAATCTTTCTAGAAGCAGATTGCCAGATCCTTCTCCCAAAGAGCAGCTGTGTGGGTTTAAAGTCCTAATTTACTGGCTAGTAGCTGAGCTCCTGGTGTGGCACTGTAGGCTAAGCACTGGACTGCTAACTGCAAGGTTGGTGGTTCAAACCCACCAGTCATCCCTTGAAAACCTTGTGCAGGATCACTGAGTTGGAACTGACTCGAAAACACTTAACAATAAAAACAAGCAGAACTCTTAAATGTTGTGTAACCAGGTTGAGTCAAAAATTATCTGCACTCTGGCTATAGAATTTATTTTAATTAGCTTATAGAAAAGACAAATGCATCATTTTCAACAGAATCTCTTTGATTTTCAATACACTTTGTCCATCTGTCAACAAGCTTTTGTATTCCCTTATTAAATATGTTTTAGGCTGAGCTGCAGCCACAAATGCACCACTGTCTTCACTTCTTTATCAGCGGTGAATCTTCCTCCTCAAAGGGCTGCTTTCAGGGGACCAAACAGATGAAAGTCCAATGGAACAGCATCAGAACTATAGGAAGGATGCTTTAACACCTCAAAAGGAAGTTTTTGCAGAGTGCCAACAGTGTGGGCAGGATGTGTCGACGTGCAGTTTCATGCAAGATCACAATGCCCTTTGATAACAGCCCTCTGCTTTTCATCCTAAAATTTAGGCTTCAGCTCTTCATTAAGCATCTCACTATAATGAGCACTGTTGATTATTGAACCCTTTTTCCAGACAGTGTTCCAGTAGTGGCCCTTGAGAATCCCAGAAAACTGTAAGCATCAATTGTCCAGCTGATGGTTGACTTTTGAACTTTTTCTTGGTCGGCGATTGAGGGTGTTTCCATTCTATACTCTGCCGTTTACTCTCAGGCTCCTAGTGATGAATCCATGTCTCATCACCAGTAACAGTTTTTTAAAGAAAATTCTTTTACCTTCCTTAGACTATCGGTCCAGATTTTGTTTGCAGATGTCCAAAGGCTTCTTATTATGCTCTTCTGTGAGCTGTTTCGGTACTTTTCAAAACCTAAGTGCGTCATGGATTACTTCATAGGCAGAGCCACGGCTGATTTGCAAATGATTTGCCACATAATCCACTACCACTTGTCTATTCGACAGAATCATTTCATATGCACATTCATTGTTGTCATCAGCCGTGGACGTGGATGGACATTTTAATATAACTGAAATATGGGTCATTTTTATTCAGTATTGTATATAATAGGTCCTTATGAGGAGCCACCTTATAAGGTTGTTGATGAGATTAACTCCAATAATCCTTGGCATAGTTGGTGGTACACGGTAGGCTGATGTGTCTAGTGGGCATATACAATTGGCGATGACTCTTATTAGCAGCAGTCTTTGCTGTGTAGAATGCAGAAATGCTTCTTGTGCCTAAGACAGGAAAATCAAAGGTTTCTAAGTGTTCCATGAACTAGGCCCTATAAGAGGAAATAGACCCCTCCTGGGATCTTTCTACATCATTTTCTTTGCTGTATGTGTACACCATTAAATGGAACCGGGTCACCCAGCAGCTACTCAAGATTTAGTTGATTTGAATTGGGAAATTAAGAACCAGTTTGGGAACCCAGAGGTGGCATGTGTTTGAGGGTGACGGTGGCGAGAAGTAGGTGGCCCTTGTAACTCTTGATGTCTTTCTCTTGCTCGGCAGGGTGATTTCACCTGGAACAGTATGTCAGGCCGCAGCGTGCGACTGAGATCCGTCCCCATCCAGAGTCTCTCGGAGCTGGAGCGGGCCCGGCTGCGGGAAGTGGCTTTTTATCAGTTACAGCAGGACTGTGATCTGAGCTGTCAGATCACCATCCCCAAAGGTAAGGGCTTGCCTGCCATTCTGCTACAGAATGCCGAGCAGCAAACATCTGTTTGGGCCAAGCCACCAGCTGCCATCTCATCTCCCATCTAACCTAACATTAACCCCAAAAGAAAATGACCGTCTCTTGGTTGTTGGCTGGCATTGGTGTATATTTTGAAAGACATGTCCCAGTAGAACATTTTCCATATTTGTGAGCATGTTTATTTAAAGTAAAAGGTCAGCTTGGGGCATAAAAGAAAAGTTGTGCGTATCTCAGCAGTTTCCCCGGCTGCAGAAGAATCCAATGAAATGAATTTTCAGAAAGGTGAACTGAAAGCCTTTGAGAAAAAGCTATGTGTATGTCAGTATGATTTCAGAAGAACCAGTTGAAAAGAATGTTTTACTAATTGGTTCAACTCATTATTTGGCCTTCACAATGAATCTGGCACTGTGCTGGCCTTCACTTGTGTTTACTCAGTTTGCTTGTTGGTCTATGGTGTCCTTTTCCCGCAATTACAACTTTGGAGTCTGTACAAACATGGTTGCCTGATGCTTCGGAAACCTGGAGACTCATTCCACTAAAGATGGGAAGCAAGCTCTTGAATTCTAGTAATCCATGTAAGTCTAGTTCTGCACATTTGCTATGGTCTATAAAGCAACTTTATCATTTCATTTGTGTGTAGTAGAAGCTTGCTTTGAGGTACAATGAGAACCTATGATGTTATAAGTCACGTTTCCAGTTTCAGTTGTCATCGAATCGATTCCGACTTAGGGTCAAAGTAGAGCTGTGCTCCGTAGGCTAGTTTTACAAAATAGATTGCCAAGGTGCTTCTGGTTGGATTCCAGCCTCCAACGTTTTGATTAGCAACCAAAGTATTAAGTGTTCATACTACCTAAGGAGCTCTGGTAGCGTAGTGGTTATGAGTCAGGCTGCTAATCTCAAGGTCAGCAGTTCGAAACTACCAGCCATACCATGGGAGAAAGATGAGGCTTTCTGCTCCTGTAAAGATTTACAGCTTCGGAAACTACGCAAGGTCGCTGTGAGTTGGAACCGACTCCACCGCACACCACCTAGGTACTCCACGAATGGAGTAAACCTACCAAAAACACAAACAAATCATTGGCTGATGTACCTGAAACTTCAAGGAAAGCAGAAGAAAAGAGAATTAAGCTTCTAATAGTTATAAAGTGGCCTTGACGGATTGCAGTATCTGCTGAACTTCTCTTCTGCTTTGTTTTCATTGAAGAGATGGATTGCACTGTGTCCCCCCAAAATATGTGACATAAATCCTGACCTCTATGTCTCTGGGTAGAATCCTGGGGTGGCGCTGTAGAATCAGCACTGGACTGCTGGTTGGCAGTTCAAACCTACCAGCCTCTCTTCGGTAACCCTATGAACAGGAACCGACCCAACAGCAAATGGAACTGGAATCATGACCTTGATCCGATGTGAGGGAGATTCCCAGAGGTGTGGAATATAACACCTTTTATATCACAAGAGATAAAAGGATAGAGACATGAGCAGAGGAGGGGGAACCAACAAGAAAGAAGAGCCAGGACTGAAGTGCATACTTTGGGCCTGGGGGTCCCTGCACGGTGATGCTCTTAGATCCAGGGAAAGATAGATGCTAAGACACATGGAATGCATTTGGATTATGGGGTTGGTGAAGAATATTGAACTTATCATGGACTGACAAAAGAACAAATCTATGTTAAAAGAAATACAGCCAGAATGTTCCTTCAAAGCAAGGATGGGGAGACTTCGTCTCACATACCTACTTTGGCCATGCTGTCAGGATGAAGCAGTTCCTGGAGACAGACATCATACTTGGTAAAGTAGAGGACTGACAAAGAGAAAGACCCTCAATGAAATGAACTGATAAAGTGGTTGTAACAGTGGACTCAGACGTAGCAACGCCTTTGAGGATGATGTAGTACCAGGCAGTTTCGTTCTGTTGGTCATAGATTACTATGAGTTCAAACTGACTCACAGGCACCTAACAACAATATGCAGATGTATGTACACACTTATGCATTCATACACATACACAAACGTGGATCTCAACCAGAGGTGATTTTGCTCCAACCCCCAGGAGCTATTTGGCAATATCTGTAAACCTGTTTGATTGATTGTCATACTTGTGAGGGGCAACTGGATTCTACATGGTAGAGGCCAGAGGTGTGTCCAAACACCCTAAAATGTCTAGACTGGTCCCAAATGTCCAAATGCTGAGGTGGAATAGCCCTGAGAAACACCCTAAAATAATCTTCCAACAGTGAAGGTCACCCTCCCCTTCCTGGTAACCCATGGGTGGCCCAGGCGGGACTCCAGAGTCCTGCCTCCCTTCCATGGTCACAGACGTTCTTTTATTTACTCAAAAAATAGACATGTTCTTGGCGAACCCAGTTTATGATGAACACAATGAGAACTTTGCAAAGTGACCTGCATCTTGGATTGAATGCATGTCAGATAAGATCTCATGGAGTAGATATCCCTTGCAGCTTGGTTTGTAAATCCAGTTCATGGGATGTTTCTCCTTGTTCCTGTTTTAAAGAGTTCACTAAATAAATAGCTTCACCCAACGGGTGATTTTATAAAACACGTCCAGTGGAGGAGCTATCTCCGCGAATTATTTCAGAAGGCATGTGGTTCTTTATATCCAGGGAACGGACCGCGTTCTCATGTTGTTAAAAACTATTGCCTGAGCATGAGAGTTGTTATCATAATTTCTGTCACAGTGGGAACTCAGGATTTACAAATCATTTCCTCACTCATGGAGAGAAAAGGTGGGTGGGAAAGAGCAGACACAATTATGGGACTTCTGATGGTGTAGATTTGGGCAGATGATAATAGACATCAATGTCATGAGATATATCTCAAGATAAGCATGTCTTGAGATATTTCAATTACGTGGCTTGTACAAAGCTCGCTAACAAACAGCAGCTTAATCTCCATGCAAAACCACCAAGTGGAAGTTCTCAGTGCAGTCAGATTCAGGAAAAGAAATGCAGCCCCCAAGACCTAGAACCTGGAGAAACGATGCTAAGGCAAATGAGACTGGGCCTAGTGAAAATGGTGACATACCATACCCAAGCTCATGTGTCTTTTGCTAGTCACTTTGAAGTAAGACATAGGGATTTATCGATGGGTATCTTGTTGGCAAACCTTCTCTTCCTATAAGTCCTGGATGAATGCTAAGGCAGCATGTTCATCAGGTGGCGGAAGTTGTCATGGGGAGGAGAGACTTGCAGCTACAGGGGGTGATGCCAATGACTAGGGTGATGTTCTAGGGTGCCTGGCAAGGGTCTATCCAGGATCAAAGTGGAGGACCTGACCTCCTCTCCAGCTATGGAAATAGGTGGTCATTGGTCCCATGGGTCCAGATGCAGAGGAGTTAGAAGATGGTGGGAAGACATTGTGAAATTGCTCTTTAGATTGCATCTCAGAAAACCAGGTGGTAGTTTGACCATGTGGGAATGTGGACGGGAGGAGACCTGGTTGTTTGATGTAAGAGGGGAGCACTGATGGAAGAGGGGTCCTAGTGTTGCCCCGTTGCCTTAAATTTACTCTGACTTCTGGCGTCCCCATGGGTGCAGACTACAACTGTGCCCCACAGGGACATTAAGGCAGCGACCTTTCAGAAGGTGATCGCCAAGCCTGTCTTCCAAGGTACCTCTGGGTGGATTCAGGCTGCCAACCTTTTGGTTAGTAGTCAAAGGTTTAGCTTTTGTGACACCAGGGTGTATTTGAGGATCAAAAATCCCCACTGCTATTGAGTTAATTCTAACTCACAGCAGCCCTAGAGAGGGTTTCTGAGTCAAATCTGAAGAAGTAGACAGCTTCATCCTTCTTCCACAGAGTGGCTGGTGGATTTGAACCACCAACTTTGTGATTAGCAGTCCAGTGCGTATCCTATAGTGCCACCAGGTAGTGGGTAGAAATTTAAAATGTAAAGCACACCATTTCAAATTTCCCAAGACAATCTGCCTCCCAGACAATCGTATAGGGCAGAGTAGAACTTCTCCCCTGGGTGTTGAAGGCTGTAAATGTTTATAGACGCAGACAGCCTCATCTTTCTCCTGAAGAGCAGCTGGTGGATTCAAAGCGCCACCCGTATCAGCTAGCATCCCAATGCTTAATCTACTTCTCCACTAGAAGACCTGTTCAAAGGCCTCCCAAGCCCAAATCCACTACCATCAGGTTGATTCTGATGCATAGGAACCCAATGTTAGGTTTCCAAGGCTATATACATCTTTACAAGAGGAGAAAGTCTCCTTTATCTGTTGAGGAGCGACTGGTGGATTTGAACTGCAGACCTTTTGGTTAGCAGCCCAATGTGTAACCCACAATGCCCCAGGGTTTCTCAAATTTCCCAGCCTTGGATAAATCCAAATCCCTCACTAGGATTGCTCAGGAAAGGTAGAGGGAACAAGGGAGTGGAGAGTATGCAAGGAGCTATTAGAAAGTTCCTGGATAAATGGAATGAAAAGATAATAAAATGTTCCCACCAACTTTCTGAAGCCCCCTCTTATTTGTGGAATCAAAATACTAGACACCAATATATTCATGTTCTTAGCCTTTTGTTGTTGAGGGCCATGGAGTTGGTTCCGACTCATAGCGACCCTGTATAGTGTTTCCAAGGAGCGGCTGGTCAGTTTGAACTGCCGAACTTGTGGTTCAAACCAACCTTATGGTTAAGTGCTTATCCTATAGCGCTACACTGTAACCTTATCCAAGAACCTGTGAAAATGTAACCTTAAACAGCAAAAGAGATTTAGCAATGAGATTAAGTTAAGGAACTCGAGGTGGAGCGATTATTCTGGATAATCTGAGCAGGCATGAACTATAATAATCACTTGAGTCCTTCAAGAGGATAAATGTTCTCACTGTGGTCAGAGAGAGCTATAACTATGCAGAAAGGGTCGCCGAGACACCGTGGTGTTGGCTTTGAAGATGAAGGAAACCAAGGAATGTGAGTGACCTCTAGAACCTGGCAAAGACAAGGAAACATATTCTTC